TTAAACACAGCTTTGCATAGCAGCTAATTAATGATCATTCTTGGTCAACTCACTCTTTACAAATTCTATCACATTCATCTAACTCTTGTCCCTGATGCCACCATACTAAAGCTTGTCCCCGCAAACCAAGTCCTGAAAACTACTTTTCATTCCTTCCTTTTTTATGCCTCATGCACTTGGCTACAAGATCAGTCTCTCTAAGGCACCTGCTGACCATTCCTCTCCGTAACTGAAGGGCCTCCAGGAGTTGCCTAGTTAGCTGGGCCTTTTGGTAAGGCCCCCTACAGAGGAAAAACACAGCAGATAAGGGGGCCTTTTACTCCCCCTCCCCCATCTTTCATGTTGTCTGGAATTTACATGTGAAGGCTTGAACCCTAGCAGTCATCTTGAACCAAGAGGACACCTTGAGGATAGTCATATGCCAAGCATAGCAATGGAGAAAGATAGAAGATATCAAGTTCTTGATGATTGTAGAACCATGCCTCCTGCTCTGGAGAGAATAACAAATCTTGGTGTGTTTAAGTCACTGTTATTTATGGTTTTCTGTTATGGGCAGGCCCCAAATAGTAGCTAATTCTCTTCACAAATTTAGCTATTTCTCCAATTTAGCCAATGTAATATGTTGGTAAGTTTTGATCCATTGTTTCTCTTCCAAAGAACAGGGGCTTGCAGATAGATCCGAACAAAAGCCCAGTCTGTCCCCTGTGACAAAGCATTGCTCCTAATCATCTTACCCCCACTGTCTTACCCCCATCCTACCCCCTTGTTTGGAAACCAATAATAAAAATAATATGCACGTTAAAGTGTTTTTGATTTTTCTTGTGGCCTGCTTTTTAGTGGCTAATAGCTCCATAGCACCAGTAGAGAAAATAGTTGGGGGAAAGAAAAGGAGATAAACCTCAAACCAGGATATTTTCTCACTTGTGAACAGCTCTGACAAGCAGTTGGGTGTTTGAAAAGTTTCAGGTTGCTGCTCAAAAAATAGTCAATGGGAAGAAAATGTCAATAGATTGGACTTCAATTATTGACATTGTATTTTCCTTTTCATTCGCATGAATAATTGAAATCTGACTACACACATGTTGCATTATCCACTTGACCAAGGAAGAAAGAAAGAAAGAAAGGAAGAAAGGAAGAAAGGAAGAAAGAAAGAAAGAAAGAAAGAAAGAAAGAAAGAAAGAAAGAAAAAAAGAAAGAAAGAAAAGAGAGTAAGCAAAGAAAGAAGCTTGAAAAATGTTGGCTCCAGGAGAAACACTTGCCCAAAGTCACTGGAATGGAGAAGACATACAATTTATGTCTTGGTATTTTCCATTTGGTTAAGTCGACTCTTAATTACTTGAAACAAATCCTTTCAAATGGAATTTCAAAAAAGCAAATTCTGCTCAAACTCTTACATTGTGTAATTCCATTTCTGCTGTCATGCACATTAAACTAAACTGGTTGGAGAAAAAAAAAATCTCTTGCTAAATTAAATTTGGTTTGATTAGGAAATTTGTGTGCATTTGCACGCAAAGCACAGTTTGCGTGGGTTAAAAAATGTCCTGGTTATTTAAAATGTTCTTTTTTACAGATGATTCAGTCTTACCACAGCTTCATTAGTGAACTAAATTTGTGTTAATGTGGATCCGTGTTGTGAGTGAAATAGGCTTTTGGCCCTTTGTTGGGAAATCACTCAAGTAAGTAGACAGTTTGTCTTTTCTGAAGAAAAATAATACAGCCTCAAAGGCTGGAACATGTAAGTATCTTCAAATCCTTCCTACTTGGGCTCTACATGACCCTTTCTTGCCGTTTCCTAACACTGTCATCATTTCCTTTTCAAAAATATTTTCCTTGCTCATCCTGACCCATTTTCCCATCAGGCTCTAAAAGGCAGAGTTGGTCCCCGGGTGGTATCTGCCCTGCTCTATGTCCTTAACTGGATTTCAACTGCAATAATTACCTTCCAACTTATGGCCAGACGCACATAAATAGAAAAATTTAAATAACATTGCTTCCAAGCATTTCAGAATGAGGAAAGTGCTTTTTAGAGGGTCAAAATGCCCTACTGCAAAGACACAGATACGAGGCCAATCATTTGTGGGTAGTTGATATTTGCTGAAAGGAGAAAGACTGAATCCACAAGTAGCTTGTTTTACAGGTATCATCAGCAGCCTGTCTTTCAACCCCAGTCATCAGAAGTCCCATTCTACTACAACATATGAGAAAGAATCTTACATTTTATAGGTCATTAAAAAAGCATGCAGATGAGTAAGAGCAAAGGATTACAAAAATTATGAAGGATTTGATGAGTATTATTAATAGTGCATGTTGAACTAATGCATGACAGAAAGGAGGTTTACATCTGTGAAACAGAGATTATTGAACAAGATGCAACCCCAACTTAAACAATGGCATCTTCTGGGACCTCTGCGGGAAGGAATCTCACCATGGCATCTCGTTTCTCTACGCAATGATCACAATTCGGTATTGGGTGGAAAACCAACAGCGACCACTGACATGCTCAGTATCTCCAGAGGGCCCTAAAATTATTTTGATCTTTTGTTTTTACAATATCCTTGATTGCATCAAAATTCTAGAAAGCTGCTTGAGAGGGACCTTCTTTTTGGGGAATGGGTGGTTGAAGCCAAGACTATCCAGAACCCTTAGGATGAGTACAGATCAGTGTGACGCTGCAGAACAGTCCTGACCTGGACTATGTCTTTCTGCACAAGCTTAGGAGGTAAAAGCCCAGTGTGGTTAAAGAGCAGAATTCCATGTCATTTCGTTGATTAAGAAGATAATATACACCAGAAAGGGTATATAGTATGTGGGATGTCTGTGACATGTTTTTCACTTGGAGAATTCTTTATATACATGAAATTTGATAGAGAAGCCCAATATCTAAGCAGGTAAGTGTCAAGCTGTATCTTGGGACAGTGACCCAGATCCTTCCTACACACCAGCATTCCTTCCAGCAGAGGCCTTTAAGGGGCTTCCCAAAGCCACTAAAAGCTCAGAGGATCCCCGCTGGAAAATGGTGCCTCTCTAAGGCTTCCAAGACTCTATCTGCTACACAGGGGAGGTCAAGATCCTTGGCCTCCACGGTCAGTAGAATCAAGTGTACTGAGGACTTCTACTCCCAGAACTCCCATGTATCACACCTTAGCCATATTTCAGACTGGAAGATTCCAAAGGGTATTCAGTGGTTCCATTGTCTGGAATTCTCTGGCAATTCCCCCCCCCCAACACCCTGGTTTTGGTGATTATTGAACAAAGAAAGAATTGGAAGAAAAGCAGGGTCTCTGATCTTTCAGAAACTTTACATAATGACCTTAGACCCGACTCAATAAATAGCTCTTGTAACTTTAAGGAAGTTGATCAAATTCAAACATCTGGCTACAGAATTTTCATTCACTACATGCCTAATTTATTTTTTGCTTTCTCTCTCTCTCTCTTTAAAAATTTTTAATGGAAGTATAATTTACTAGAGTAAAATGCAAAGATGGGTTTTGGCAAATGCATGTAGCCCACACTTCTAGAAAGATATACAATGTTTCCATCATTCCAGAAAATTCCCTCACACTCATTGCCAGTCAACAGCCCTTCTCCCTTAGGTAATTACTGTTTTGATTCCTATTGCCACAGATTGGTTATGCCTTTTCTAGAACTATATAAAAATGAATGCATACAGCATGCACTCTTTTGTGTCTAATACCTCGGGTTTTGAGCATCTATAGACATCTACTTTCAGTTTCCTTATCTGTAAACTGAGGGGACAGTCCTGCAAGCATAGTGTACAAGTATTCAGAGGTGCCCTAGGGCACCTGATGGGAGCAGTGGACCTCTGAGGTCACTTTGATTGGAGGGGACATGAAGAAGAGGCTGGGGAGTGAGGCTTGCAGGACCCTTCTCAAATTCAAGCAGAACAGCTATCCTTTTCCCTGCCTTACATGTTGCAGTCCACCATAAGATTTCATTTGGGAAGGGGGTGAATTATTTGTAAAACAAAACAAAAACAAAAGCAAAGAAAAACAAGACAGAGAGAGAGAGAGAATCATAGGTCTCGAAGATTTCCTAGTGATCCTTTTCCTTGAATGTTCCATAAATTACAAATAGTGTTTTCTGATATGAGAGCTGCGACTGGTCCCCTCAAGGGAGGGCTGGGAGACAGAGGCAGCCAGACTGGGGGCCCCGAGGGAGGGCCTGGGCACAGAGCGCTGTAACCCTAGTACTGGTTACAATCAGATAGCACCACTCCAACCCAGGCGCCTAGACAATAGGCCAGAGGCCATGGGCAAGGGGAGGCACAAAGACAGCATTCAAAAGACCCAACTCCAGCAGCCAGGGAGCATTTCTATAGACTCCCCAGACCCCGGCCAAGCCTGAATGTCCGCTTATCACCAGAAAGCCATTTTTTTCATGGGTAGCTTTTAAACTGCTAAAAATAATAAACACAGAAAGGAAAGTGCTGACATAACCTTAAAGGCAGAGGCAAACTGAATCTGTGTTGTTGTAATAATGTAAACAAACTGGATTCTAAATTATAAGTCAGTGATCCAAACAGTCTGCTTGATACTACCAAACACCTAGGGACCAAAAGGAGAATTCAGAAGACTCATCAGTTAAGAAAGTGGATCTTTACTGCACAGGTGCTCATATCCCATTTGACTTGCTCTAACCAATGGGTTACTTAACTCTTATGCCTTTTTTCTTTTAGCTCTCAAGGAAAAGACACATGGCATAGGACTGTTGGATCCTGATTGAGTATAACAGGTGAAAACTGGGCTCCTTTCTCTCCCTTAGTAGCCTTCTTTCCCTGAGTGAATTTGTAGCATTCCTTTTCTCTGTTATGACTTTTCAACCCATTTAATGTTTTACATTTCTTCTGAACAGAGTTCAAAACTATGTTAAATAACAACAGCAGCAACGTCACAAATTGGAAGATAATTCCCAAAATGCTTAAATGTGACAATGAATAGCAAAGTGACAAGCCTGCAAATAAGTCAAGCCTGACATCTGACCTTCTTATTCATTAACTCACGTGTGGAACTTGGCACCCACGCAGGACGTCCAACAGGAGGGAAATTGCAGATCTGGAAAAAAGGAAACACAAGAAGATAAATATAAAGTTGTTTTTGTTTTAAAGTTCCCCAACATTTGATTAAACTGCAACTGCTCTTATTTCTATGTTTAAATAGGGTCTGGTTTCAGAGCTGTCTCTGATTTTGAATAAATGCAAATAGACTTAGATAAAATCTCATTCTAAAAGGGAGATGGTTTCGGAGAAAGGCACTTTAACACAAGGACTGTAATAGCGCATTATAGGCATGGGACAACTTTGGTGAATGCCAAAGACCTCCTTTTCTGTAGAGTTTCAGGGACAAGACCCAAGAGCTTTGGATTCCCAGCCTGGAAAGATGACTAAAAGGCCAGTGTGGATCTCAAAACATTTAGATATCTTATGCTAAAGAGAGTCCGGCTTTGTCCAAGAGGATGGTTCCCGGAATAGGTCTTAACATATAAAAGCTGCAATTGAGCCATATGAAACCAGTGGTAGAACGGAATGTTTTCCATCCGGGGATGCACCTGAGCATGAAGGTATGGAGTTGTCTAGATTGTGCAATCATATCCGGCACACTTCCCACAGGTACAAACCAGATGAGAGAGGCGGCCAAACAGACCATGGCATCTGCTCAATCAGCAGAGGATGTCTCCAAGTGCCTATCTACACAGCAAGTAGAAAGCTGCTTGTAAACTAAGTGTGGTCCCACAACTTTTGTTGCTGTCGTGAGGAACTTAGAAATTACAGAAAATTGGAGCTTAGTATACCAAATGTTTGGGTTCCCACTACCCTGATTGGACCATTCTTAGCATTTTGTCATATCTGCTCTTTTTATTAAAAAAAAATTGAGCATAGCTATAATCACCTTGATAACCCCACGTGAAGCCCAGACCATGAATTGGTTTATATCTTTCCAGACATAATGTTCATTTTACATTCCCATATATAAATGTGCATTCAGGGCAATGAACAACGTTTGTGTGTTTTTAATTTACCTAAATGATATTAATCTCTGCATATGTATCCCTCATTCTACATTTTTTACCCAACCTTATATGCCTAAGCTCTAACCATGCTGATCTATAATAGCTCATTCCCTTTAACTGCCACATTGAGTAAATATACACTCAGTCATTGGCTTTTCACCCAACACCCAACGTTTATGGCACCATAAAAGCACTTGTTATATCATTAAAGTGATAGTTGGCTCTGTGTGGGTGTGCATACGTATGTGTGCATGTGAAATTTTCTCTGCTGCTCCACTCTGGGCTTCTGAAGATGCTGCCTTGTCTTGTTTTGACAGTGGCTCTTCCACTCTATGACTCCATGCAGAGTGGATATTCAATATGTTGAAAGGCAAGACATATTTATTAAAATGGACTTGCTTATTATTAATTTTCCTCCTTTTAAAAACAACATTAAGGAAGACTATGGCATTGCATTTGTCTCTGTTCTTCAAAAATCTCTCTCCGCTGTTCTTTTCATAAACCTTCACATCTAATACCTTGAACTTCATCTCACTGTTGGCTAGACAATCAGAAACTCCGGTAGTATGCAGCTGAAGACCAAGACCCTTAACAAGCACATTCTAAAAGCATTCTCAAAGACTAGATTAACAAAGCCAGGGAAAGCTTGTGTTTGTAACTGTTGTTATGGCTTTATGACAATTACATGTAAATATACACCATTACCCCTGACATTAATATCTAAAACCAAACAGTGTCTTTTGTATAAAAATAATACTGGAGTTTATTATATTTGAGAGTATGATTCTGATTTAGACTTTGAAGAATAGATATGAATTTGACTGTGAACATCTGAAATTTCTCATGTAATTATTAATCATAATCAGCGGTTCTATCATAACATTTATTAAGCACATTTTTTGAGCTGGGTTGTGCTAGTTATTTTACCTAATTTCATATAATTTAATCCTTACAATGAACATATAAGGTAAGTATTATCAATAACCCCATTTAAAAAAAAAAAAAACAAAAAAACCCCATTTTCCAGATGAGGATAGGAGAGGCAGGGAACAGTTAAACATTTTGCCCAAAGTCAAACAATGAGGCAGAGGCTGGCCAGGAATTGCACCCAGTCTGATGTCAGGGGCCTTATTCTAAATGACTAAGAACAGGTTTAGGTTTTCCTTTTGTTTTTTTTTTTTTTGGAGACAGAGTCTTGCTCTGTTTCCCTGGCTAGAGTGCTGTGGTATTAGGTATTAGCCTAGCTTGCAGTAAAAGTTTTCCAACTTCTCAAGTCTTTTTCTTTCCTTGTTTTATTATTTTTTAAATGTTTTTGGGTAGGGGGAGCCGGATCTCACTGTCACCCCTGGTAGAGTGCAGTGGCATTATCATAGCTCACTGCAACCTCAAACTCCTGGGCTCAAACCATCTTCCTGCCTCAGCCTCCCACGTAGCTGAGACTACAGGCATACACCACCACACTCGTCTAATTTTTTCTATTTTTTGTTGTCCAGCTAAC